TATTGCTTGATACTATCATTACATCTACCCACGAGCCTCCTCTCGTCACGCTACCAATGGTAATAAGTATGAGAGTAAAAGGAATTGTTACTGGCACACAGAGGCCCTCATAAATGGTGGCAGCTCAGGCCCTCATAAATGGTGGCAGTAGTGGCCCTCATACCCACGGCTTCGTTGGGCCAGACCCCAGACCCGTCATGTGTCTGGCTACCCCACAATAACAACGGGCGTGAGCCCCAGTGCTCTACCCTGGGTTACTCCTTGGAAGTGTATGTCCACAGAGAGGGTTGTAACATGTATGTTAGGGATAATTAGATGGAAATAATTATCCCATGTTGGGTAGTGGACCCCTGTATATACTAGTGTCATTATTAACGTATATGTGGAGTAAAATAATCTACAATGAGTGCCATGTAATGTAACACCAGTAATGTTGTGAGTAAGAGTAAAGAAGAAGGGACTGAGTTTGCACTAAGCCCAGGAGTTGAGCCTGGTAGTTATATGTTTAATACAATATCTTTCCCCATTGATTGCATATTAATAAACTTGTTTTTAGAGTACTTTAGGTGTATTCCTTTCTCCCACAGTATTTTACCTTTATTTCCATCCAAGTGACTTGGCACCAGAATTACCATACCCATGCGCCTAGACCCTCGACCATGCTACCAAAAGAATGTCCATGCTACCAAAAGAATAGGTGACGGAACTGAGTAAGAGTAAGACTAAGAGAAGTAAGTAAGTATGAGGGTGGTGTAGATAAAGAGGGAACCCGCGCCCTCACATTGGTGGCAGCTTGTTAGTTGTTACACCCCCCCCTCACAAGACATGAGGGACCTGCTTCAGTCTCTACACCACAGGCTGGACACCCTCGAGCAGCTCTGCTCCTCCATGCCTGCTGCTGCTCCTGTTCCTGCCCCACGCACTGTGTCCTACCGACCCCAACATCCCCGTCCTGCCCCAGACGCGGCCGCCAGCCCCCAGCACAGTGTGCCTACCTTCTGTTGGTACCATCAACCTTTTGATGCTAATGCTAGATGCTGTGAGGCTCCCTGCAACTACACTAGGAAGCAACATCGACGGGATTGGTAGACGCCACAACCTCCGTCACTTCATGTACTGCGCACATCATTGTCATTCCTAAAAACCCCATTTAATTCATATTACGCTATATAACATTCAAATCCACCGCTCTTGTAGAACCTCAGAAAACGGGAAACACTGTTAAAGGATAACTCACCTACTCAATGTTACTAGACCATGTGTTGTCTTGTACCCAGGCACAGTCATATCATATTAATTGTATGTATTCATAGCATTAAGGAGAACTCAGGGTATCCATAAGATGAATGTTAAAGTCCAGTTGAGCCGGACTAGTGTACTGTAGGACTAAGTGTGGATCAGGGTTTGAAGGTCATACTATTTACGTCTGTGAACGTGTAGCGAACATAACTTCCACAGATATCATATGAAAATACATGAGAACAATGATCTGGAAAAAGGATAAATGTATCAGAACTATGTGAGGTGTTGGAAGTGACCCAGAAACTATACTTGAAAGGAAATAATCTTGTATGCGTCAGTATGAACTTAATACACCTCGTATCCTCACGTGACATATACCCACGACAGGTACAGTGATCAGAGAATCTTATGTCTGTGTTCAAATAGTGCAATGTGTGAGAGGAGGATCCCTCATTACAGTTTTAAGTGAAGTTGATACACCCCCGCCATGAACATTCAGCCTTTGTTTTAAGGCGCGTCATGTACCCGCCTCGGGTGTGCCGCGTTGATATTATAACCCAATGAATTTACCCACGAACTAGCAAACCAAGACCTTACCTTAGTGTGTAATTTAGGATTAAAATATGTGTTTATACGGCATGAGTGACAATATACCGAAAAGTGTTCAGGTGAGAGCCGTAAGAAATAAAAGTAAAAATTAAAGATTGGAAACTGTAGGCCTACGTGGTGACGAGCGGCAGGGCACTGTTCTCAGTACCCTCCGTTCTACCGTCACCTCAGGTTCCATGCGGTCGGAGTGCCTTGCTGCCCGGCAGCCATTATCCCTATGAGCGTCCCAACAGGTGGTGACTACTCCCAGCTATGCCACTCCACTGTGAACCTGTGGATTTCCAGCACACCACTCCTAATGAGTAGTCACAAATAAGGAGACCGTGAGAAACTCTGCGGTCGTCACTTGGAGCGACCTATAATACCAGGCGTAGAAATAGTACTGGTATGTCTCTAGGTGAAGCCCTCGTCTTTACCCACCGAGGGCGGTGTGCGAACGAGGCGCCTGTTGTGTATACCTAAAAGTCACAAGGAGTCCCATACCTGCAGGTATGGAGTGTAACATGTGTGTTGAGATGGTGCTACTATGTATGATAACCGACGGTGCTATATTCCATACAGGTGGAGCAGTCTGATGTGTTAAGGGATAGTGTAAGAAGGAATGACCGAGGTAAGGAGGTCACAGATTGTTATGCAATAAGTATGTGGATGACACGCCTTTAATGTAAGACGTCTGGTGCCCATCTGGGTAACCAACATTTTCGTTGTTCTTCTGAGGAAGACCCATTCAATTGTATGTTTTTTACCAGTATGCTTTATAAGGAATAAATTATTTAAGACATGTTATGGTTTCACCCTTCTTTCCCCTTATCGATCTGGTCAATGGAAAACCTAACCCAATGCCTAGTCCACTCTTGCACGCTACCTAACGAGCTACATGCTGTCCAGAGGGGGTCTGGTGGCAGCGACCCTTAGAAATTAAGATTAGAGTTAAGTATTTACCCTTAGTATTAGTGACTCAAAGTCTGGCAGCATATTCAGGCATCTCACTGCTGCATATTACCGACCGCATCTCCGGCAAGAAGTTCCTCGTTGACACGGGGACATCGGTCAGCATCATCCTTCCCTTGCCGCAAGACACATCAAAGCAACCCTCATATGATCTGTTCGCTGCAAACGGTACCCCCATCGCTATCACTATCACTGCCATTGTTCACTGGTACACTTACTTGGCAGGCTATAACCTGACCTGCATTGGCTAACGAAGGAGAGTCACTGTGCCTGTTGATTTCAGGCGATGGAGGCGACCCGGCAGTGTTGGCGTCACTGAGTGTGACTGCTGTTGTGGGTGGAGGCGGCCTCCCAGGACAACCGGGATGCCAGGCCGTCACACCCTCCTCCCTGCACCTGGGACACTGCCTCCTGGGTGGGGAAGCCTGCTCTCTCCCCTCACGGGAGGCAGCTTCCTTGGTGGGGCAGCTCTTCGTGCTACTCCACCTTAGACGATTCCAACTCTGGCCCTCCTGCTGAACCTATGCACTTTCCTATAATCTCCAGTCGTTGGGTTGCTGGTGTGTTATTCTGGTTGGATGTGAGTAAGGCGCATGGACCTGACGGAATACCCCCTAATGTTCTGAAATTCTGACCCCTGTGAATTGCTCGCCTCTTTTGCCTTTGTCTCAAAATCCAAACTTTTCCTTCTTCTTGGAAGCATGCCTCGGTTCAGCCGATCCCAAAGAAGGGTGACCCTTCTAATCCCTCTAACTATCGCCCCATTGCCCTAACTTCATCCCTCTCTAAGATTTTCGAAAATATCTTAAACTCTCATTTCTCCGTCACCTTGAACGCTTTTCTCTTTTGTCTGATCACCATTATGACTTTCGCAAGGCGAGATCTACTGGTGGATATGACTCATTTTCGAACCCTTCTCAAGAAACTTGCAAGAGGGGTGTGGTTATCTATGTTAAGCAAGACATTAGAGCCAGCCAGGAGAGGACGTTTTTGAAGAGTCCAAGTGATGTAAAATTAAATTAAAGGGGGGCCTTACTTATCGTCGGGTGTATCTACAGATCCCCAAACTGTGGCCCACTAAATCAAAGGAACTTAAGAGCCTTAATAGACAATGCGGCAATGCTCAACCCTAGCCACCTCCTTATCATGGGGGACTTTAAGTATGGCGACACCGACTGGAGAAACGAGTTCACCCCAAATGACTTGAATAGCCCTGCTACTCTTTTTGTAGAAACTCTGAGAGATAATTTTCTGTTCCAACATGTTAGAGACCCGACACATTACAAAGGGAGCAAACACCCAAGCCACTAGACCTCATCATAACAAACGAGGAGGGTATGGTGGAACATCTTGCCCTAGTTGGCACCAGTCACCATATAATGTTGTCATTCAGATTTAACTGTCACCTAGTTACAGATAAGGTCAGGCCAAGGTGCAAATATTACATGGGAAATCACAACGGGATGAGGGAAAAGATGAGAGGTATCCACTGGCCTGACTCATTAAGGCACAAGAACGCAAACCAAACCCAGTGCCTCTAGGAATACGAGGGGATCCCTACACATCAACCATGCGGCGGTCGACAAAGTTAAGAAGAAAACCCAGAAATTCAAGACAAGGGTTGGGTCAAGCGATGAGCAGGACAGGAGGATGTATGCAAGAGCCAGAAACCAAGCAAAGGTAGAGTGTAGAAGGGCTGAAAAGGAGTTCCAGAGGCTGGTTGCAAGCGAAGTCAAGTCAAACCCAAACCTGTCAGAGAGTGTTGTGACGGTACCGAGTGTGACCTATTTCAAGACCAGACTTGACCAACACTAACTGGAGCAGGTTCAGATACATTCAGGAACTAGTGCATGTCCAGTAGGCTACTTGCCAACAGTGCGTAATAGATAAGTGACCGATCGCCCAAGCTCCTAACGGGCCGATCAGTGGCGCTTTAGAACCTTTTTATTTATTTTTATCTAAAATTTTACAATTTACATATATACATAATTATTACATATTAAAATATTTGTCCGTGAAACTTTCAACAACACCCAATTACAGTATGTTCGTATATTTTTTAACCATATCTAAATTAAGTATTTACAAACATTTAAGAGAATTTATTAAATTGTATTTGCGTATGTAAAGATAATTTATGAAAACTACATAAATAAAATACTGTAGTTATAAAAAAAATGTGTTCGTAGGTCACATGATGGCGGCCCCCATGGTAGGCACCGGGGGGATGTGGACATAGTGTGACGTTACTTGTGAACCAGGCCGTAAATTCATTTTGTAAACTCTTTATTTGATTAATAAGACAACCACAATGGGTAAAATGAAGCATCGGCGGCAGCGTGGGGCACGGTACAACCCCATTGGAGTGTCAAATAACGGCGCCGCCACGATAGATGAGCCAGGTCTCAGTAGCAGCCCGACCGCTGGTCTCAGACTGGTGGGGGAGAAGGTATGCTATGGTTAATAGGTAGATACTATTTAATATGATAGGTTGAATACAAGATGACCTGGTTATGTTAAATATTGAGTTAAGTATGATTATAAAATTGGTTGACGTGAAACTTTTCAGGATTATTTATTTACTGTTACTCTACCCTCTTGACCACTGATGGCTCTTTAGCCTCTGGGGCGACCGGTCACGTCTCTGTTAGGCTATAGGGCTGGCATGGCTGAACAATAAAATAGGACGCTCCAGAAGACATCCTCCCCCAGCACACACTTTGGCGCTATGTAACCTTGAAGCAGCCGTGACAATTAATTTTGCTATTTGCATAACATTAATAATATATATATACCAGTATCGGTGTACTGTATTGCATTGTGTTTTTAATGTAGGCTAATATACAACATTCATGGGAAAGAAATCTTAAAAATACTAAAAAAATTACCTTTGCTTAAGGCTGAATATCTTCATTCCCTTAGCTGCAGTCTTCTTCCCCCACTGTGTGTGTGTGACTTGATGTGCCTATGCACATCAAGATTATGGTTGAAAATTGCTAAAATGCCTTAAATGCAGGACAAGAAAAACAAAGGCTACAGTGTAAAAAAGCCATAAGAAAAATATGGTATACTTTCAACATTTCATTTATGGCTAATAGCGCTAAATACAAAAACAAATTTAATAATGCGCGTGGCTGAAGAACAAGGAAAAGCAGTACATGGCACTACATGCTACCCAAAATTTGCTAGCAGCTAAGTTGACAACACCGTACAGGCGTACACGTGACTTATCAGCTGACGAAAACTGAACGAAATCTCTACGGTTTTCACCGCCCCTCTCTCTCAGTCTCTCTCTTTCGTCATTACAGTTTCATGTTTTTTTTCCGTGGAGAAAATGATGGACTGAAATTCCGGACTTTTGAAGAATTTTAAAAATTACTTCCGGATGAAGATTTCGAGACCTAAATGGAGGACATGTCCGGGAAAATACGGACGTATGGCAACCCTATGTTACGCACTGTTGGCAAGCACTGGACATGCACCGGCTCCTGAATGTATCTGAACCTGCTCCAGTGTTGGTCAAATCTGGTCTTGAAATAGGTCGCACTCGGTGCCGTCACAACACTTTCTGGTAGATTGTTCCAAGAGTTCACAGCTCTCACTCTGAAAAAGTTTGCCCTCACGGTTTTCTGGACTTGCGGCTTCTTCAGTCTTGAACTGTGACCCCTTGTCGATTGAGTAGTGCCCCTTGAGATGCTTATACACCTCAACTCGGTTCCCCCTTGCCCGTCTAGTATAAGCTAAGCAAGTTCAGGCGCTCCAATCTCTCGGGGTAGCTGAGGTGCCGAAGTGCAGGCACCAGTCTGGCGGCCCTCCTTTGAAAATTTTCAACCAACTGACAGTCCCTAGCATATCTCGGGGACCAGACGGAGTGACAGTACTCCATATGGGGAAGCACTTCACTCTTGAAGATCATTGCGAGGATATTTTGCTGTGACCGGTTAAGTACATACTAATGCTATTTTACTGTGAGTGCGCTCTGATTGGCTCAGTAGGAAGTTAGTTAGGTTTCTTTTGGCTGGTTAGGTCAGGTTCTAGTAAATGTTGCCTCTTTTATAATGATAAGAACATTGCAGAAAAAATGAACGAAGTCAAACAATTTTTTCCGTTGGTGTTCTCAGACTTTACCGTATTTTTAACCTTTTTTGCAAATTACTTAAGGTTTTGGGGGACCAGTGGTAGAAGCGGTACCGTTCTTGCCTCGCAAGCGAGATGTCATGGGTTTGATTCCCGGGCCGGTGGAAGTTGTTTGGACTTACTTCCTTGCCCCCATTAGTCCCTGTTCACCTAGCAGTAAATTAGGTACCTGTTGTAAGTCGAAAGTTGCGAATTCGTATTCAGGGAGTTGTTCGAGCTTCCATTAACTTGATGACATAAACCACTGACTCTTCAGGCTTCTACGCCCTTAACTTATGAGACATAAAGGCAAGCATGAACTTAGCATGTTTCCCTGTTGGACGCTGTAAATGCTTCTGCGCTTCACCTTACACAAGGATGTAGGGGAGTGCAAAAAAAAAGGCTTCCTTGGTGTTCTATTTAGTATTTGCCCTAAGTTTCCCCCCACTGCCCAGTTTGAACAACCAATATTGTTGGTATTTGTGGAGGTTTTATTAGTTAAAATACTCAAAAAAAATGTACATTTGTGCCAGAAATGCAATAAAATACCTGTTAGTGTTTGGTTTTTGTTTTCACCCTGTATAGATCGATACAGTATATGAAACTCCATGTTTGACCTAAAACGAATATTTACCTCTTTTGTTAGTAGTTTCCATGTACAACAGAAATGTGGTTAGTTTTTTTTTTTTTTTTTACGGAATTAGCCACCCGGGCACAGGTCAAACGAACAACGAAAAAAAAAGAAAGAAAGAAATTGAAAATATAGAAAAAAAGGTTATACTGTATTAATCTACACCACAAAGATGCCGAAAAACCAGCTTTTTAAAGTGAGACAGATTGTAAGAGCATGGAAACACAGAAGAAGGCAAAGCATTCCACAGTTTGGCTGTGTGAGGAAAGAAGGAGGTACTATAACGGGTTATTCTCGTGTGACCGATATCCACAGAGAAACGGTGGGCACCGCGGGCAAGACGTGTGTTACGAACCCACGGCCTTGCCGGCGGTACACAGGATGCCAAATCCACCGAACATTGCCCGTTAACGTACCTGTAAAAGAGAGAGAGTGAAGCAACATTGCGGCGAAGAGAAAGGGAAGAGAGATTGTCGACTAGTGCAGATTCGTCAACAGCTGGAGTTAGAAATTGATAATGAAGATGTTGAACAGTTGGTGGAAAGTTTAGCAGAAGAGCTCAGTAACGAGGATCTTATTGAACTGGATGCACAGAAAATTGCAGAGAAAGAAGAGAGACAAAATGTAGAAGACGAACCTGCACCCCCCAAAAGTTTCCAGTGAAACAACTGGCAGAGGCATTTGCTACTATTAATAAGGAGATGCAAATGTTTGAAGAAATGGATCAAAATGTTGAGCGTTTTGCAAAAGTTGACAGACTGATCCAAGATGCACTTGCTTGCTACAGGGAGATATACAATGAAAAGAAAAGGCAAACTGTGCAGTCTAAATTGGACGTATTTTTTAAGAAGTCCCCCACTGCTGTCTCTTCACTCCCCACTACTGCTGCCTCTTCACTCCCTAAAGATGATCCAATACCTTCAACAAGCAAGTATGTTAGCCTGTCTGAAGAAAGTGAACGTGATGACCCACCCAGCCCTGTCTCCTCCTCTGCTTCATCCAATCAATGTAGTCTACATGCTTAATTAAAAAATTATTGAGGCCCAGTGTGCATTCAGTTGACTATATGAAAGGTAAGTGCACAGTAACACTTTATTAATTTTTCATTATTGATTACTTTTACTGTACTGTATTTCATTTTAGAATTTCTATGTATTATTTTCACTTTTTCAACTTATGACCGGGTTGTCGGGACGGAACCCCGTCGTAAGTAGAGGAGAGATTGTATTGTGTTATTAACAGTTGATGGTTTACTTTTAGCTCTCAAGTACAGTGGTGGAGGAACGTATCAGTGGTCTCAACACCCTTGCTTCCTTTGCTTTGGAGGAAGAGACTCTTTCTGCCATTATGAGCAGCATGATAGTCGGAAAAGTGGCCGCTCTTTTGAAAGATCCAAGTACAGAGGTTAGACTAGTTGCTGCAGGTGCTCTGAGGTAAGCTTTCTATACAGTATTTATGGGAGTTTTGCTTTATTCATTGGTTCATCAACATTTTTGTTCAGTACTGTATTAATTTATGCAATATTAATTTATGCACTCCAGATTCATATCCTCTGATCATTTTTAAGACCTAGTTGTATATTAATAATAAAAATTCATACCGGTACATATAATATGAATAAGGCTGTGACCTTGCGTGGCCAGATATCCTTTATTAGGCAGCTCAATATACTCACTGAATCATTGGTGTAGGACCAGGTGACCTTGACATTAGTGGTTAGGACCTATTTAAAAAAAAATCTTCAAAAGCAACGGTAACTATAAAAAGAGATGATTAAAAGCTCAGGCTCTGTCCCTCTTTTGACAGAAGAGGGAATGAATGGCAGCTAATGAAGGAGGAAAGTGTTTGTTCATGGTTCTGATTACTCTGCACCACTGTGGTAAAAAACTTTAAAAAATCAAGAAAAAATCAATTGTTAAGTATGAAAGTTAAATGACTTGTCCTTCTAGTAATGACTGTTGTTTATATTATCAGAAACATTAGTGCTGGTGGATCAGATGAGGTTGTTGAAGAAATGGTGCAACAAGATGTGTTGTCACCTTTAGCCGAGTTGCTTCAAGAATACCGGGAAGCCTGGACACCCTCAACCACAGATCTTGGGGAACCTGCAGCAAGGGATGTTGACCCCATGACCAACACTTTTGTACAAGCTACACATCTTCTCTGGAATCTTTGGTAAGTCATATGGAGGTACTGTGCTAGCATACCTCTTTTAACAAAGCCTTTGTGAAAAAGATGTTCATTTAACCCCTTAAAAAAATCTAAGGAAAATGAGCACCTTAAAATTACTACAGTATCAGTTTTCTAACAATATTCTTCGGTTGTGGAATTTTTTCATACAAAGGTTGTCAAAAAATCACAAACAAAAACATATTATATAATACATTCTCTTACATAACTGTAAACAAAGTAATTATATAATCATAGATAAATGAGACTTCTTTCAGTACAGAGGCATTACTCATCTGATGAGGAAAGTTCATCCTCTTGTGTATCACTATACCTGATTCTTCAATGTCTGTACAATTGTCACTATCATATTCATCATTTGAACTCATATTGGTCGAGTGACAAATGGGAAAAAGGTGTCTGGGAGGAAGCAAAATGTGGAGCCTGTGTAGGTGTCACCATGTGTTTACATGTGAGGCTATCATTTGTAGGGGGTATAAACACACCATCTGTTGCAGAAAAATGTAACCATACGCGCCTACGGACATATTCGGGCCCGTGAAACCAAGTACACTCGAGGCTCGAGCTAACTCTGGATAATTTTGTTTTTTCCTCAAAAATTTACAAACGATACAGTATATTGTACTCGGGAAAGTGAGCAAGGGGGTTAAAAATATTGTATATTAGTAAGTTTAGTATCATTCAAGAAAAAAATTAATCAAACGTTAGTGGAGAAGAACCAAGGATAAAGTCCACCGTGATCTTTGTTGTTTATAGTCCGCCAAGATTCGTGTCAGTTGTGTCGCAGTAGGTCTCTTCATATTCACCATCAATGTTTGTTTTGTGAACATTTTATGCCTATTATGTCTTAAGAAATGGCCTGGATGTGAATGTGTTGATAAATGGAGGATGGGCCACAGCCTGGTCCGTCTTCCTAGGAGTTGCTGCTGTCTCTCGTCTCATACCACTGCCAGAAAAGAGGAGTGGGTGTTCAGTATGAGCAAGGCAGTGGTGGTAAAGCACAAAGTCTTCTTTTTAATGTACAAAGTAGACGAGTGGAACAAGTTTAGCAACTTTGTAGTAAGTGCTGGAACGCTGGAAAGTTTTAAAAGGAGGCAAGATAGATTCATGGATGATAGAGAGTGGAAGTAACTTTTGACAGGAGCTGCCATGCACAGGCCAACCAGCCTATTGCAGACTCCTTATGTTCTTAAGTTAAGCGTTGTCACTTATACTGATTGCGACAGCCATTTTTTCTTATTGTTGCACTGGTGCCATTTGCTTACTGCTTAATGTTTACTTTTCATACAAAGATGGCATTGGAAAATCACATGTATTTCTAAGTAACCAACTTTATTCTAATGTTTAAGACCTATTTTGTCACATTTAATCATTATTTAGTCATTCTGTTAGAAAAATATAGCATTGAAGGCATTTATTTATCATTTTGATTAATTTTGCTGTTAAACAAAACCCATCTGTATAAATACCATGTTATAGTGACCACTTTTAACTTATTATTCGTTTAGTGGACTGGCCTCAAGAACATACCTCATCCGTTATAAGAGTGTTATGTCATCACTCCTCTTAATCAACAATTTTCCACTTGTCAAATAAGAGGTGAAGCTTGATCGTGAACACATAAAGAAACAAACCCCTTCCACTAGTGGTCACAGCAACAAGCAGGGTAAACACTGTACTTACCGTACTTTAATATTATACCTGCCAGGTTCTTAATAACCCTGAGAGTAACTCATATTGAGGAGGAATCATGCACTGCATAATTTTGTATTATAATAAAATTAGGAACGTGCAGTAAGTCCTCGCTTAACGTCAGGGTTATGTTCCTAAAAACGAGAAGTTATGCAAATCAACGTTAGCGGATCAATTTTCCCCATAGGAAATAGATCAAATACAGGAGTTACATTCCTCAGTCTCCCTTTGCCCCATGAAAAACATTACATATACAGAAAATCATTGCCATTTCTATAGAAAATAGTGTATATACAGTACTCTATATAGAACTACAGTACTAAGTTTGTATTGGTACTCACTGATGGGCAGAGGTGGTAGAGCGAGTGTGTGGTGGGTAGTGGAGCGAAGGAAGAGGATGGCGGGAGGGGAGGAGGAGGAGGGTAGTGAGTCACTGAGACTGCGGCTGCCTCCTGCTCTGACTGGAGTTCCTCCGCCGCTGCTTGCTCCTCCTCCATTGATGTTTGCTCCACCTCGGCTGTTGTTTGCTCCTCCTCAGCTGCTGGCTGTTGTGAAAAAGTTCCTTCTTCCGTCCCGCGATAAAAGAAAATAATCCAGTGTTGACTGCTTGGTGCTACTCTTCTTCTCCTTATAGATCTCAGTGTAACAACCAAGACTGTCATCAATGTTGCGTTGAACCTTTGAGCTACGTTCTCTGTTTGCGTCGTCATCTAGAAGGATTTGCATTGCTTGCTGGAACATGTTGAATGATTCTGCCATCCTCTTGGATGTTAGCATTCATTGAGGTTCTTCGTCGTCACTTCAACGGGACTGTGTTCTGTTAGTTGTTGCAGGCCAAGTTGAAAATGTCCCTATTCACAGCTGGGACTAAGTCCGTGAATCCCGTAAAACTGTTGACGCACTCGGGCCACAGTTTACGCCACACACCATTCAGGCAACTTTGTGAAACCTCTTCCCATGCCTTGCCAATGTTGTCAATTGTGTGAAGAATGTTGAAACCGTGCCAATATTCTCGGATCGTAGGTTTATTTTCTCCATCTGTAGCCTTGAGCAGCTGGGCCATGGTATGGCGTAAATAATACGCCTTGAATGCGGCGATGATGCCTTGGTCCATAGGCTGCATCAGTGCTGTCGTGTTGGGAGGCAGAAATACAACTTTTACACTGTCATGCAAGTCGTCGAGATTGGGAGGATGAGCTGGAGCATTGTCAACGATGAGAAGAATTTTGAAGTCAAGGTTCTCCTTGGCACAGTATTCCTTTAGTGCAGAGACGGCGTACACATTCAACCACTAGCTAAATATGGCGCCAGTTATCCATGCCTTCTTGTTTGCCTTGTAGATCACAGGAAGGTGATTCTTAGAGTAACCTTTCAGGGCCCGTGGGTTGACAGCACGAGAAATCAGCATAGGCTTCAGCTTGAAGTCACCGGCAGCGTTCACGCCAAGCAACAGCATCAAGCGGTCTTTTGCCGCTTTAAAACCTGGTGCTCTTTTCTCCTCCTTGGAGATATAGGTCCTCTCAGGCATCCTCTTCCAAAAGAGACCAGTCTCATCCACATTGAAGACTTGCTTTGATGAGTAGCCTCCTTGCTGAACACTCCGTTTGAATCTGGTGGGAATGTCTCGGCAGCAACCATATCTGAACTGGCAGCTTCACCAGTCATCCCTAAGTTGTGGAAGTTATACCTGCGCTTAAATCGTTGAAACCAGTGTCTGCTGGCCATAAAGGTCTCTTCCTTCGATCCTTCACCCTCTGTTTCCTTCATGTCATCAAACAAGGATCTGGCCTTATGCTGGATAACCATAAGGTTCACAGGTGCATTGCATTTGTTATGGTCCTCCATCCACATTGCCGGCATCTTTCCCACCTTCTCTATCACATTGCTTCTAGTACGAGTCATCTTCGTAGCACTAAGAGAAGAACCACTTCCAGCACTAACCTTAATCTTGTCAGCGTGGGTCCGGAGAGTATTCACCGTTGTGGGGGCTAGATCAAGCACAGCGACTATGTCCACAGCACGTTCCCCTTTTTCAAATCGGGTTAATATATCCATTTTTGTAGCAAGGGTAATGGTTTTATGTTGCCTCTTCACTACACTAGCATCAGTAGCACTTGATGGGCGTTTGGAAGCCATTTTGAATGGTTAGAGTACAATTTTAGAGCAAAAGCACTTAAGCACACACGAATGATGTGAAGTCGTAACAGAGACTGGCCTGGTGTCGCTTGGGGACGCTGTGACGTTACGCCAGTGAGGGCAGCGCGCCGATCCGAGAGAGCATAGCGCGGCCAGACAAGAGCGGGTGATGCGCCATAGAAAGTAGTCCGTGACAACGCAAAGCGACGTAGTACCGAAACAACATTAAGCTGGGCGACGTTAAGCGAGGACTTACTGTATTTACGAAGACAAGAAATAGAACAATTTAAATACAAACAACCACAGCCTAAATTAACCTAAACCATAAACTCAGCCATACCATACACTTGAACAGTACAAAAGAATGTTCCACTATCTCCATATACATATATCCTGAGTCCAAACCAACTGTACCAGGACATGATGACCATACTATAATGCCAGCCAAGCTTATATGTCGCTTCTCACTCACCGGCTGAGCTAGTGGACCCTTGATTCACACTGTTTTCCCAAGCTAATACATATTTTACCAACCTAATACACAATATAGGCTGATTTGTTTAATACTTACATATTATAAATCAACATATGTAACATATTAAACAATTATTACATACAGGAACAAAGTAATATAAAATATAGCCATACCTACTGAACAAGCAGAGTAATTACCTCTGAACAGGTAAGGTAATTACCTCACAATATATATTCGGTGCCACACAACAAGAGTATGATACTACAGTACTGTATACTGAAGGGATTAAGATATAAAAAACACATACAGTAAAGCCTCGAATAACGATGGTAATGTGTCCTCCAATATTGCAGTGTAAGGTGAATCGTCTTATCGCAAATCATTAATTACCATTAAAATAAAGCAATAATAATGAGATGCATTCCCAAGTGTGACCTTTTCATATCTTATTTGTGGCTTTTTACTCTCTTTTCCCCCAAAAACAATACAAATAATGAAAATTGCAAACTATATTCTTTAATTAATGTTTCTGAATGCACCTTATACAATATAAATGAATAATAATATGGTCACACAAGAGGAGATGGGACGCCATTGTTTTCTTTTGTGTTTACATCCGGGAGTCCGGGACAATAGTCTACGCGAGAAAATGTAGAAAATAAGATCCTGGTTGTAGCTGTAATAAAATTATTGTAAAAAAAATTAATATACATATATGTTTTAAGTAATGTTATTTAATGTTAATAAATGGAACAGCTAACCACTAATGGCAAAGCAAAAAAGAAGAGATGGATTGGGAACGCCAACATATACGTGCGCATTTAAGGATACCGCGTCATTTATCTTTTTAAGAAATGTACAAAAGATTCATTATTGTTTATTACTGAATATGTATTTGATTGAATTAATGTTTCTATATGCAAAATGAACAATACAGCTCATTAATAATACCTGTATGTAGAATATTAAAACACACAAGAGGATAAGAGACGGCGTTGTTGTCAGTGTTTACACCCATAATGTCAGTTATCCACCTAAAACTGAAGAAAATAAGACCCTGTTTGTTGTTGTAGTTAAATTAATGTAAAAAATATGTATGTTTTAATTAATGTTATTTAATGTACAGTAGAAGTAACCACTGATATTAAAGAAAAAGTGAGACTGATAGTGGAACGCCAATGTATACGGTACGTGCGCACTCAAGGAAACAGTCATTTATCTTAAGAATATGTACAAAAGATTCATTATTGTTTATTACTGAATAAGTATTTGATTTTACTCACCAATGGTGGTAAATTCTAAAACATAAAGACAGGCAATGAATATTGTGCGAGTTTTTACTCAGATGACGAAGTCATCAGGTTCAACTCTGGCTGAGGCTGTAGCTTCTCATAAAGCTGTTGCTGAAACTGTTACTGAAACTGAAGTTGATGTTAAAGCTGCTTATGATGCTGAATTTGATGGTGTAGCTGAAGTTGATGGTTTAGGCCTTCGAATAATAAAGCTGTCGAAAGAACCTTGCACAGCTGCTTTCTTTTCTCATTATACATCTTTATGTAGAGGTCATTTGCATTTATCTAAATTTTAATGCTTTGTTCTGTCAATGGATCCACTTCAGAAAATATGTTCATTGCTTGCTCCATATTATATCCACAGACCTCTCACCTTTTTCATATTGTTTTAAAACATCTAGTTTCTCAACTAAGTTTATAAACTTTCTATTAGCTTTTGAAACAACACTACCATCACTTGCTCTCTTGCTCATGCTGAATAGGGATGCAAAAATGCTGTGAGAAACCTGAGAAAGTTTTTCTCCTGTTCCTGTTCCAGATGCGTGAAAAGAAAAGGCCCGCCAAGTTCCGACTGTTGGTTACCACTCATTAGCAAGGCAGCTTCTTTGCACAAGGCGCTCTTAATTTTTTTACAGTAATTTTTTTTTATAATACATATCGGGATTTAGTTATTATTTATATGAAAATGTAATTTTATTTTATTTTTATTATATTTTGTTCGTAAATACGAATGAAATAAAGACGTAAATTGAATTGGGTCCTAAATTAACTAGGGTTTTAAATGTGAAAAGTTGTTGGTCGAACTGTTGTAATCGGAGGCTTTACTGAACTTCCCTTTTCACCTTAAGCCATAAAGGAATGAGTCATTCAGCAATTTCTGACCTAATACCTTTCTCCAGGTGGCTCTGTGAAAAGAGTAGGCAACTACAGTCACATATTTTGCTGTGCTGTGATTGAAAAAATAACATCCCTTGGAAATGGCAGTAATTTATTTGATTTTGTTATACCTGTACAGTACTGTAGATAGTTGCACTTCAGCTGGTGATGATGATGTAAAGTATAAAACCGTACTGTGTTGGATTGAGTGATGTTCATCTCTTATTTTAGCTCCTTTAAAGTGTTATCTCTGGTGAAAGGTGGAGATATTGGGGGATATAACAAGGTGTTGAGACTAGGCACATAATCCCTTTTTTCTTCATACGAAATCAAATTCAGTTTGTGGAAATTTATGTACTTGAGGTTTTCCAAGAATGTAAAGTAGAGGTAATTAGGGCCTACTGTATTTGAAAAGAAAAGCATGCACAGACTGTTTTATTTATTTGTACAGTACCCTAGTTTTATTTTTTATTTTTTAAGCATCATTAGGACTAACTCAAAATATTTTCATTGCAGTGAGTGCAGTGAAGAAGCTTTGAGTGTATTTAACCAAGAGGGTTTGGTTCACATTCTTCTTCGTCATCTAGATCCGTCTTCCTGGGGTTATACTTTGGCTTTAGCTGTTGCAGAATGCCTTCTTTGTGTGTCAGAAAACAATCCTAAAGCAATTTCTGCAGTTATTCACTCAGCAGACTCCCTGATATCTTTTGTCTCTCGTCCAGCAGAATCGACCGTTGATCTGCAATTTGCCACTACAGTTGCAGGTATTGTACTGTTCTTTGTTGTTATTGTTTACTGACTTGGAAGAATGAAGGCAGTAGATGTGATGTATATTATAAAGTGAATAGGTATCATAGGTAGCAGACTGGTTTCCCTTGTTCACCCAAGGGAGTGCCATGTAGAAGAAGTGAAGAGATGTTTTCTTTCAGTGAGGGTTATTTTTTAAGACTACAATATTTGTACTTTAACTTGGTGATTTACTAAGTTAATTTAACCTCCATATTCCTTTTATATTGATGATTCTGTTCTGGTTTTATAATTTACCCTTTTTCATTTCTTGTTTCTTTCCCTCGTGTTTATGCTTACTGAGGTAGTTCTCATCCTTTTCACCCACTCTTCATACTCAGTGCAGGCTAGTAGTGACTGCTTCTCTTCTAGCACAGCCAGACCATCATAAAGAATTCTGTAGTATATGTTTCACGATTTTTTGTGAGATTTTTGCTTGAAGGTAGCTAGATATTTAGACAAAAGTTTTACATAATCCAACCTTTCAAGGAAGGGGATGCCCTTCAAGGAACAAGGTATTGAAGAGTTTAGATAAAAAAGAAGAGTGGTTGACAGTAAATAAGAGCATTTAAAATTATAAAAAATACCTCTACCCCTCTAGCATGATATTGAATACCTATTCACACTTTCAAATTTTGAGAAAATTTACTCATGAATGACACACATAGTAAAAAAGAAAACACGAAGTTTCAAGTGCTATCATGTAATTCACATTTTCAGGGGTGAGTGCAGACTGAAGAATAATTAATAACAAGGCCAATATATACAGTAAATGGGAGTGAGATCAAGTCCCTGGGGACAGCAGGTATCCACCATATTCAAGCCATTAAATAGTTACCCAACCCTTTTACTTGGTTACAAATCTTCTTAATAACAAAATCATCCAATTTGTACATGAAAGTGTGAGCCAGGCATACCAACATGTAAGTCACTTACTTTACTTTATTTCCAGTAACCCAATGAACTGCAATCCAAGTATTATTTTGTAGCCGATAAGGGATAATTTGTTTTGTGGCTGCTTTTTCCTTGTCAATTTCCATTTTATTGTATTATGACTTAGAGTCATGTTGGTAAACCTTCCAAGTGTAAACAGAAGTCTTATGTCATCTGCAACGTGCTGACCATCTCATAGCCAAACATAAAGTAATGCTCCTTAACTTAAGGTGCGAGAAGACATCTTTAAAGACTAATTGACAGGTTTTGCAGTCGGTGATCGGAAGAGGAAGGAGTGGACTAAAATTACAGCAGCGTTCAATACCATTTAATCCCCGCCCCCCTTCAAATTAATCTTTTTAACCCCTAGGCTTCAGGTCACAACATATGACATGTGTCTGGAGAGCTTCTGGTCATGTCATATGACGTTTTGATCTTTCGTTGGACTATCTGAATGAAAAGGGTGGGCCTGGCTGGATTATGTTGCCCAGTAAGATTCTCGCCTTTGGACTTGACTTGTTTCACCATGTGTTTCTACCCTCCAGCCCCCAAGCATATGTCTAGTATCATGATTAATTACTGGAGCAGTATTAATGATAGTTAAAGGGGTAAATAGTAATAACATAGTAAAACAAGCATCCCGCCTACAAATTAGGGTTGTTTACCTTGTTCCTACTGCGTCGCACACACACACACCACTTCACGAACAGTGTCGATTCTTCCTAGCTCGTGTTGCCAACTTGTGATTGGGATATGTATTTATTTCTTGTCTATATCATGCATGGCCAATTTGTAAGACTATAATTTTTTTTTTTAATGTTCCCGAATATACCCGCGTGGGGGGGGGGGAGGCCAACCATAGCCCAAAGCCCAGGGGTTAAAGAAAAATAAGTGTTAATCGACTTGGAACATTAGAGAATGAATAGTACATTCAATAAAATTGATAAGATTGAGATAGTGCCCCAAAAGTCTACAAGGCAATGACCAAATCATGCAAATAAATTGTTTAAATTTTTTTTAATTACAGTAAATGATTTTTGAAGTTGTAAATCAGCATTTTCTGGCTCAAACTTATGTGTTCAATTCGACCTTCTGTGAAAAATAGAACTTTATAGTTCTCTTCTCCATCTTTTGACTTAATTCCCTTTTCCAGGCAGCCTATTGTATTAGAAGATGACTTACTCGGGAAGCCAGTACTATGTCATGCTGGTAACTGATTAGCCTTTCCCTATTCTTTCTTTCTGTAGAGCAAGGGCAACTTTGGCATTAGCCCCTTATTTTAGGCTGGGTGATCTAATTTATTTATTTATTTATTTTTAAATACAGGGAATAGCCCACCCAGGCTCAGGTCATTGACCCACAAGGGGTGGGGGGCAAGAGTAAAAGTGTGGAAACAGAAGAAAGCAGAGCATTCCACAGTTTGGCTGTGTGAGGAAAGAAGAATGTTTTTCTAGTGTGACATACATCCACACAGAAACGGTGGGCACTGCGGGCAAGATGAGCGTTACGAGCCGACGGCCTTGCCGGCGGTACACAGGATGCCAAATCCACCGAACATTGCCCATTAAAGTACTTACCTGTAAAAGAGAGAGAGTGAAGCAACAATACGGTGAAGAGAAAGGGAAGAGAGATTATCAACTAAAGGAGGAGAATTAATAAGACAAAATGCCTTTGATTCCACCCTATCTAACAGTTGGACAGAAGAAGAGCCGCCCCAGATATGAGAGCAGTACTCCAGGTTAGGACAAATGAATCCCTTATTTACTTGAAGCAACTGCTCAGGAGTGAAGTAGCTACAGCATCTGTACAGCATTTCCAACTTTTGGGAGGCAGCTTTAACAGTGTTGTGGATGTGTGGCTTCCATTGACTTATTAGAGGAAGTGGTTGAGGCCGAGCATATCTATTTGGCAAAATGATTGCGTCCTCAAATGTGATTGATGGGAAATCTTTCATTTTGGAAAGTGTGATTGGTAAATACTGTGTTTTATTGCTATTGAATTAAACCAAGTTTCTACCTCCCCATTTGGAGATGCTGCACAGATCTGCAGTTATAGATGAAACAATATAATTTCTAGAAACAGTTCTAGTTTGAGAGTTGGGGGAAGGGAAAAATGAGAAAAAGAATGAAGAGTAGAATCATCAGTATAGGAATGGATAGAATTAGTTGTAGTGTGAAGTAAATCATTGATAAAAAGAAGGAGAGAGTAGGTGAAAGAACAGAACCCTGTGGAGCACCACTATTGGTAGAGAAAGAGCAAGAGCTCGATTCCTTGACAACAACTTCCTGGAATGGTTCTCAAGGAAACTAGAAATTAGAGAACAAAGAGGGGGAGAGAAACCATAAAAGGGAAGTTTAGAAAGCAAAGACTTGAGCCATACCATGTCAAATGCTTTGGAGATGTCGAGGGCCACGACAAAAGTTTCCCCTTAATCCCTAAGAGAGGATGACCAAAGATGGGTGCAGAAGGAGTAGATCACCAGTAGATCTCGCTTAGCAAAGGCCATACTGGTGATCTGACAAAGGAGAAAGTCGTTCAAGGTGATGGAGAAAATATGAGTTTAAGATAGTTTCAAAAATCTTAGAGAGGGATAAAGTTAGGGCAATGGGGCGATAGTTAGAGGAATTAGAATGGTCACCCTTCTTCGGGATGGGCTGAACCGAGGCATGCTTCCAAGAAGAAAGAAAAGTTTGGGTTTTGAGGTAAAGGCAAAACAGGCGAACAAGCACAGGGGCTACAACTTAAACACACTCCCTCAGAACATGCGGTGGGTATTCCGTCTGGTCTAATGCTCAGCTCCTTACTCACATCCAGATTGCATAACACACCAGTAACCCAACGAGTGGAGATTATAGGAAAGTGCATAGGCTCAGTAGGAGGAGCAGGGGTAGAGTTGGAATTGTCTAAGGTGGAGTTAGAGGAGAATAAGGTGCCAAATAGATTGGCTTTATCAGAGGATCGCATCCTAAAAAGCCCCGCTTTAATATTATTGTCAACTAATATCATAGGAGAATAAAAGAATAGAAAAAATGAAACGGATCTTGAGTGAGAAAGGTTATATATGTTGTGTTGTTAACAGTAAAGGAAACAATTGAGACCCTGCAATTATGTGTAAATGAGGCAGAAAATCAGATCAGCAATTTGGGAATTGGTCAAAATTTTTGTGATGCTATATGGCAGCAGGGTCTACCATTACATAATACATTATGCTTCCAATATCTTCCCAGGTGGTAGTACCTCCCTGTGGCAGACTCTAGGATCCTAACTAAAGAGCTTATGGGACTCCCAAGTGAGTTAGTCTCTTATTAGAGTGGACTACCTAGCCACAATGTTGCTTCACTCTCTCTTTTATTGGTAATTTAACGGGCAATTTTCGGTGGATTTGGCATCCTGTGTACCGCTGGCAAGGCCGTGGGCTCGTAACACGTCTTGCCCGCGGTGCCCACTGTTGCTCTGTAGATGTTGGTTACACTAGAATAACCCATTAAAATACATCCTTCTTCCCTCACACAGCCAAACTGTGGAATGCTCTGCTGCCTTCTGTGTTTCCACACTCATGCAATCTGTCTCACTTTAAAAAGCTGGTTTTCCAGCATCTTTGTGGTGTAGATTAATATAACTATTATCTTTTCTATTTTTAATTTCCTTTTATTCTTATTTTTTCGCCCCCTGGGCCCCGATGTGGGTCAATGGTCTGTGTCCGGGTGGGCTATTCCCCGTAAAAAAAAAATATATATATATAAATAAAATAATGCTGCTCTTCCAGAAAAGGATATTTTATGACCAGACCTCCATTTTTCAACAGTTTTAACACTTAATGTTTTTATTATTATTATTATTATTATATTTTTTTGCAGGTCTCCTTTTGAATATCGAATACTGCACAACTAGCGGGAACAACTTCCAACATGTATTAAGACTTTTATCAACAGTCCTTGAAACTGATATTCTGCAATTGATTATACAATATATGGGCGTTGCCAAGGGCACTACGCCCTCCACATCTCTACAAGACCTGGAACGCCTCATCGTAGCACAACAGTTAGCATTAGAAATTCTGTCCAATATATGCTGTCCAGAAGGTAAATAATCAAATTTTTTCAAAAGCTTTCACTCTTTCTTTATGATTTACAGTGATCCCTTGGTTAACGAGTGCCTCGGTTAACGAATTACCTTCCATAAGATTCTTCGCTTCGTTTAACGAGCAAACCCTCGGTTAACGAATTCCTTAAAAAAATTTCCCAACATGTTTTCGCCTGCATTTGGCTGCCCACCAGCTGTAGTATTAGTCCGCCAATACAGTAATCGGTTTTAGGGCTTAAATTCCTTAACATTTTAGTAAATATCAAGAAGGTTGTACTATTCAATAATTTTAAAAGTTTTATGTAAAAATTTTTAGTCATTTTAACAATTATTGAACATAATTGAGGTACAGAAACTAGTTTTTAGCATGAAACAGCCACTCAACACACCAAGCTTGGCGTCAGTTTGTTTACCAGTTCAGAGGAAAAACATCTTGTTTGAGACTCTTCAACATAAATGCTTTTTCTGTTTCCAGTCAAATTATTGGTCATTTTGAAATATATTTTATATTGATAATATATAGTGCAGTGCAGTGTTGATTTAAAAATAATCTTGAATTACACCAAGTGAACTAAAATTTTATGGGTGAAATGGCTGCATGGGGTGACTTCTCTTCCACCTCAATGCCTTCTCTTCTCCTTCTCCTCCACCCCCATTCTAATTCCCATCATCATCATCAACCAGGAGCCTTCTACATGCACTCCTCAAAATAAGTGTACTTTACTGCATTTATTTTTAGTTTGTATGTAATTTTCGGTGAGCTGGAACCAATTATCCAAAAACCCATTGAAACAATGGTTTTAGGTTAACAAATTTTTCGGTTAATGAGCAACCTTCTGGAACGAATTGTGCTTGTTAACCGAGGACACTGTATTGTAGAAATATATTGTATGTATAATACACTACCATAATTTATTTCTCCAGTTTCATTCAGTATTGAAAATGATATACAGTGGTCCCTCGATTAACGAACACAATTGGTTCCACAGAGTCGGTTGTTAACCAAAAATTTTGTAAACTGAATCTATTATTTCAATGGGATATTAAGTAATTCGTTCCAACTCATAGAAAAAGTATACATACAAAGTACTGTATACCGGTAATAGAATTAACAAAACATTGAATATAAACTAAATACAGTATATTGTACAATAATAAATAAAAAACATGGAATACTGTATTTTAACTTAGTTTGAGGTGTGTACTATGTCATATTCCCGGCAGCTTTGTTTACGTATCAAACGGCTGATTGTAGAGGCAGTCGATGATGACATGTCATATTCTTTACAGAGTGCATTGGTTCTAATGCCTTCTTCACGTTTCATAATAATTTCTGCACTATATATTATCAATATGTTAACTAAATTTCAGAATGACCAATAATTTTAATGTAAAAATGCAAATATATTCAAGAGACCAACAAACTTGATGTTCACTTCACTGTAAACAAAGTTAAACTGAGAAGCGTTGGTGGGTGATTCGATCAGCTGAAGGGCACACAAAAACTGTTCTCTGTACTGTATATATTATCAATATGTTAACTAAGTTTCAAAATTACCAAAAAAATTAATATAAAAAATGCAAAAATATTCAAGAGCACAACTTTCTTGATATTTACTCAACTAAAACGAATGTAAACATAGAACCAATTACTGTATTGGCGGACTAGCCGATCAGTTGATGCGCACACAAAGCGTGTTTCTCGTAAGGCTTTCGTTAATCAAAGTTTTGTTCGTTAATGGAACTGAAAATCCTTATGGGAGCTAATTCATTAATTGAACTGTTCTTTAATTGAACTGTTCGTTAATTGGGGACCACTGTACAGTACAGTACATCCAGTAAATTTTAAGAAAAGGGGGAGATTAATAGAAAAACTTATGAAATGAACCACACTTACTGAATACTGCACAGTGGTCTAATCTGATTTGCTTTGGGCCAACTGAGAACTAAGTCACTTGAGTATATAAACAGGTTGGGGCTGATCAGGTGTTGCCGCATTCATCAGGTTTATTTATTTATTGATCCAGTATTATATTCTCTTATGATTGGCCTCTTATGGTTTATGGTTCATCAGGATTAATATAACATCTTCAGTAATAGAGAAAAACTACAATTCTGTATATAATTTGTAATATGGCTTAAAAATCAAAGGATAAGCGATATCAGAAGGTTATTTACTCAAGATGCGTTCATGTGAGAGCCTCAGTAGACCAGCTTACAACAGGGGTCACTATAACACACTGTATAGTATTTGATATGAAGATACCTTCTTAAAAACGTTATTTACTACTTTTGAGTGTTATATGATGGCTAAATTTGGCTTCTTGTACATGTAGACAAATGATTAATGAATAAACCAGGGTATATGCAGATTTATAATACTGTACACTCATATTACTTATTAAGTGTTGATAAATACACAATAGCATAAATGTTGATAAATATGCTGCAATAGTATTTATTAAGTGATGATAAATACACAACTGTACTGAACTAAATTACTAAGTGTTAAAGACAGACATTGTGGTAAGCCAATCAGCTGTTTGCTCTTGTAAACAAATGACTCGTGGTGTCCAGTGGGATTCTTTTTCAGGAAAGCTGATTCTTTTAGGGTAATATTTTATCAACTTGACACCAAATGATCCTAAATTATTTGAGAATTGTGGTGAAATTGTATAAAGAAATGTTAAGGGAATCTGGGAGAGACGGATATCTATCTCACACTTATTTGTTCTTATTTTATTTTTTATTACTGTACAGTATACAGTTTTCTCTTTATTCAAAAGACAAATTCTGTGGTTACTTACATACAACACATTACAGTCAGTTACAATCATCTCAGTGACAACAGTTGTTGACAACAGACTTATTTGTCTAATTTTCAACCCAGAGAGTTCTGTTTCATATTTTTTTTATTGTTGTTGTAATAATCTTTTAATAACCTTGTTATGCACTTGAAGACCTTGGTTGTTGAAATGCAGTACAGGTTGGGTATCCCTTATCTGAAATTCCCAAGTCCAAAATGCTCTGAAATCCCAACGTCTATTTCATTATATTTATGGTAGATAATACACTGAATATGGCATATCTCATAATTTTTACAGGGTAAGTTTGTATGTGTAATGAATAAAGGTAAGACACGGGCTTCTTAGCGCCTCAGAGCCATGACGATGCCAAACAGACAGTAGTGATTGCTTACCTTTCTGGGTTTTTAGTGTACATCTTATCATATATTTTATACTATATTATTAAAGTATATCACAGAATGTATGTATCCATATGCTGTAAATGAAATATAAATGAATTTTGTGCATAGACTTGGGGCCCCATCCCTGCTGGCAGCACGTTCTTTCCCACCTGAGAAATGATGCCCCGCCCCCTCCTCACAAGTTATAGCTGATTGGCTGTTGCAAACCTGTCCACTTTTGTCCTGAAGTAATGATGTATTTCTAATTAAGTTTATTCATAATCGTTGGGATGACCGCTTCTGATGAAAAAGATATTTAGCTAAATTATATAAAGATACAGTAGTACCCCGATTTACGGTCAATTGAACCCACAGGGTACCGTGAAAACCGTGTAAAGTGAACAACAGAACATATGGGATTAATTCCAATAGAGACTGGCCCGACCCCCAAACTCCACTTTTTCCGACACAATACCTATGTTGTCGTAAAAATAACATCTAAATTTTATGATGGTATGCTCACACAATTAATATTTAAGAGAAATACAGTCGCCAGGTTAATGTCCATTTAAATAATGGACTCAAATCCCCGCCTCTTCCCAGCTCAGTTCCTACCTCTGAGAAATGATTGTGAAACACTAGATTTTAACGTTTAATAATACCTCAGACTAAAATAGATAATATAATTGACATTTCTGGATTCCTCAGGTCAGAATATTTTGAATGTAAACTTCATATATTTTCATAAAAGATAAAATATTTGTTTTGTAAACCAAATTATTACATTAGATCTAAAATTTGTATGTCTAATGCAAAATCCATGATGTTTATATTCAAAATGATCATCATATTGTAAGAATTCCAGCAATGTAAATTATATTCTGGCCGGGTAATTTGTATGAATTTTATGAGCTAAAAAAAAAAAATTACACTTCACGGGTATATGAGTAGATGCACCGCGGAAAGTGAAAGTCCGGTTCTGGCGAGGTACCGCGTAAATGAGAAAGAAATCGCGGAAAGTGAAACCGTGTAAAGCGGGGTAATACTGTACTGTACATACATTCATTACTTCAAACATAAGCACGGAGGAAGTTTATCAGAAGTATTATACTGTACATGAATTAACTGTTAAACTCTGGTAGCAAATTCATGCTTTCGGAGGATGCATTCGATATATAATTATTTTTGCCCACAATAAGGCATACTAAGACAAATAATCCAGTAAGGCTTTGGAATCAAGGGTGCGGAAAATAGGTGGTGGACCTGTATATACATACAGTACAGGTAAAAGAAATAATTGTCCTAAGGACAAACACATAAAGGGAATATACATTTCTTTGCACATGAGTAAAAATG